TAATTTTTTTTTGTAGCCTAGACAAGAATAACCATATTAAGGAGAAATTCTGCAAGATCTGCTTTTTCTTTTGATTAGTCCAATTTTGTCAGCAAAAACTTGTCACTTGGAGTTTACCTGACATATATTACTTTAATTCGATTTTTGGTAAGATTAATCATTTATTTCCCCTGTAAAAGTAAGTATAAGCATATAAACATGAAAAAGTAATACAGAATTTTGTAATGCAATGAAAGATTAACTAAGAATGATTGAATATACTGAAAAATATAGTTTCCTAGAGAGTTAATCAACAGTCTAAGACATAACCTTAAAATAATATAATGCTTGGTTTTGCAACACTTTATTCTATTCTTACAGAGGAATTGGTTAAACTAGCACCGGGACATAGCAACCAACAGTGTCTCTTTCAAGATTCTATTTGGGTAGATTTAACACATATTATTCTCATACAACACTTTCTATTGATGCTTCTCTGCATTCAGCTCTATTCATCAGTCTATATTATCCTTTTTATTGTCAGGATCCTTAGTATTAAAGATAGAGAGGCTTTAATGCTTTTTTTTTCAGTCTGTTACTGTTGGAGACTCAGATTTAAATAAGAGATTTGTCTGACTTTATCCCTAGACCTAGCCATCCCTATTTCTATTTATAAAGACATTAAGGTTTTCTTTGTGCTCATTCTCTGTCATTGTGCTCTGTGATATTGTAACCAAAACACCAAGACTGGATAATTTGAAGGACAGAAATCTAATTTCTTTGAGTCTAGGAGTCTGGGGAGTAGGAAGTTCAAGATCCAGATGGCAGCAGATTCGGCATTCTGGGGAGGGTTCTTCTCATGGCAGAAGGCGGAAGGCAAGCTACTACTGAGTGACCCAAGTATTTTTCTCAGGTGGATCTGAAGCTGGGAAATTTTCTGTAACTTAATAAATGTTGACAAAGATGTCAGGACTCATCTAGCTTGAAGCACATGATTTGGGTTGCTGCTGAACACTTCCCGACTACTCATTTCTAGAAAGATTGTCTCAAAGCATGTGGTCCTGTGCATTCCACCTCTCACACTCCAGGTCACACAACTGCAATGATACACTTTGCTAATATTGTGGAAATTTCTTGTGACAAGTGACATGGTCATTGGTCATCTCTTCCTCCATGGGATTGACACCTTGAGGTTATATTCATTTACAGCATCTAGACTCATGCCTTTATTCTTTTCCAAAAAATGCCATGTGTTGCCAGGCATAGTGGTGCATATGTGTAATCCCAGCACTCAGGAGGCTGAGGCAGGAGGATTGCTGTGAGTTAGAGGCCAGTCTGGGCTACAGAGTGAGTTCAAGGCCAGCCTGAATTGCATAGCGAGACCCTGTTTCAAAAACAAAACAACAGAACAAACAGAACAAAACAAAACGAAACAAAAACCCTGTGGCCTGTCTTAGAGTTTCAAATAGCTCCTGATTCTGCATCATTCATTAATTGTCGTGCCTGTTTTGTAAGATGGCAAATTGTCACCAGAACAGAAATTCAATATTAGGATAGACAAAAAATTGCAGTTAAAATTCCCACATAGTGAGACATTAGCAAAATGTTAAAAGAAGATCAGAATATACTTCAAATTTAGATACTTTGATGTGTGCAAAAAGAGGAAATTTAAAGCAGAACCTTCTTTTCTGTAAGGACTATTGATTAGCATAGTTCCTGGCACAAAGCAGATATTCAATAAACAGGCTGAACTGAAGAATAAACAGTGAGCATACATGGTCTTCCTCCTGTTCAATGATTCATTGATGCCTCTAGGTGACCCAGTCTTCTTTCCCAGAAGACGTAGTCTTAGGTGGTCTTCTGTTTATTCTTCACTCTTGTTGCAGTTTTAAAAGGAGTCCTTCCCCAGTTCTGAAAACATCTAATGTAAAGTTTTATTCCATCTACCAGTCTCTCTATTTTATTATATCCTTTAAATTTTAATTTTTATTAGTACATGTTTGTAGTACATAATGATTACATTTATTGTAGGGAATTGATATATATATATATATATATATATATATATATATATATATATCCCCATTTCTCCATTCCTCTTTTATTTAGCCAGCATCAGATTCATTTATTTACCAGACTTACAATAGTAGTTATTAAATATACAGATTAATAACCAGTAAATAGGACAAAGATCATATAAAACACATGAGACAGTTAAAAGAAATCAAGGTACACTGTTAGATACATTGACCATGTTGGATTATAATAGCTTTTTTTTCTCTTTCTCTTTTTTCCTATTATCTGTCTTTTATTTTGTATCTTATTTATGTATTAAGTTGTTCATGGGAGAGAAATTATATGCTATTTAAGACTGTGTATCCAACTTACCTCCTCTGCACATTATGGTCTCAAGGTACTAAAAACTATTGTTACTTTTTGGAAATCTTGTTAGGGTTAGTCATCTGGGCACTAAAACTTCTAAAGAAGCAAGGCTTAAATCTGTGTGTTTGGGAGGCAAAACAAGCCTTAAATGTACTTCGAATGAGCTAGACCTCTCCATTTTGTTCTTGCTGCTTACCTGACCTACCTTTTCCTTCCTAGGCAATTTCCCTGTACAGTTTCTACTGTGGTGTTTCTTCTGGCTGGGAGACCTAACTCCTGTTCTTTAAATACAAATCAGCCAGGTGCTAGCCCTGCTTTATTTTGACTCCTTGAGTAGTTTTCTTTACTGGGTTAGTGTTTGGAATGATATTAAGGTTAGTACTGGAAAATATTGTACAGAGAACAACCACAGGAACCTTGGAGCTATTTGATTTATAGTCATGGCATTGCATTCTTAGTCTGTTATGTTACATAGTTATTACATGTGATAATTCGGTATAAATTTCCTTCAGTGAAACTAAGAAAGGCCAAACTGCCTCTAACAGTAATCACCCAGAACTTTTCATTTCTGCCCCAGGAAATGAGATACAAGTGTGTACCTCCCTTAATCAAAGTGCATAGGCTGTCAAATATTTTGAATCAATCCTGTATTCAACTTTTCACTTTTTTGTTCATTGCCTTTTCACATTCATTATCTTATTTCAAGGTTTTATATGGTTTGTTTTCTCTTTTCTTTGCATGAGATACTGTTCCCTTATAAGCCAATGAATATGTAACTAAATGAAGATTTGATATTTAATAGTCTGTCCAATTAGTGAAAAACTTTTGTTGGAATAAAATTGATTTTAAAATAGATTATAAAACATTTGATATTATATTTGAACTCTTAGAAAGCATTCAAATTATATTGTTCATTAACTTATATCCTATTAATTTAAAACTTTTCTTTTATTTAATTGCTTCTGAATTAATTTTTTCCAAGCCATGATACTTTATAATTAGTTAATTTTTTTCATTGGATTTTTAAGCATTTGGGAAAGGAAACTCTGCAAACACAGAGACGAGATTTAATGTTTTCTGTTCAGGTTCTTGATTTTATATTTATGACTTTGCACATTTATATTATTTTTGCCTTGGAATTGAAGCTTCAGGGTCTATCATAATTCCATTGCTTACTATTCCTCTACAACAAAGTGCCATCATTGTTCTCCTGTGACCTTTAGCAAATGGTATCGCTTCTCTGAGCTCAAGTTCATTCTTTGGTAAAAGATGAATAATTACAGTATCTATTTTATAAGGTTATTATGATTGATTTAAAAGATGCAATATTCATGTTATGTTTTGATCACACTTTCTGTATAAGGGTAATAGATATGTATATGTCATATGTATACCCAAATATCTAGTATATATATGTATCATATGATGGGAGTGGTAGCAGTATGTGTCTGTGTACGCAGGGTGAGGGGGTGGGAGAAAGAAGTATATCTTGAAAACATTTTGTGGTCCAGGCTGAAGGAGACTACATCACTTTTGTTCATATGTTGTTAGTCAGACAGCATGGCTCTAGTGTTACTGGAATGTAACTTGGAAACCTCGTAGCTGTAAGGACAGCTTCCTGCTGGCAACAACTCTTTCTTACAGAAAGTGAGTGTGGGTCTTTGACAGGTAACAGGATGCCAGTCCTACACAGTCACATAAGAAATGATTCATGAATGTTGGATGCAGTTTGTGTATTTTTGTGTGCTCTTTAATATAATGTATCTTACTTACAATTTACTTGTTTGACTTTCCAATTAGGCTGGGAATCCTCTGAAGTCACCCAGTGATTGTATCCTTCACAGGTTGTATCCTTGATAGTTGGCAGAATTCTGGAAAGGTTTAAGCTCTTTTTTTTTTTTTGTCTTTTTCATTTTTATCGGTACCGGGGATCGAACTCACGACTGCCTGCTTGCAAGGAAGGTGCTTATGCCCCTGAGCTAAATCCCCAGCCCCTAGGTTTAAGGTCTTAACAAATGCTTGGTGAATAAATGTCTAGGGATGATATACACTTCACAGAATAAATGAGTACCTTATCTGATGTTAAATATACAATTATAGTCCCCCACCCCCCCGTAAGGGAACAGAAAATTACAAACAGTTCTTTGATAGTTAAAAGTTAAAAGTTCCAACCATGTGAACTAGCCTCCTTGTTTGGCCTCATAAGTATCAACAATCTGAAGAAAACTAAGCCATCTGGGTATGGATAGCAGACGATGCTATGCCAGTTAAAGACAATGCAGATAGTCCTTTCAAAATGTAGTCTAAAGATTATCATTGATTTCCTTTTTCTCTGCCCTTTAGGAAGAACTAACTGCAGCTAGATGTGTGGTGCTAGTTATCAATGATTTTGCAATTTAAAAGCAATATCTGGAGTTATAGGAATCTTCTTAGAAGGACCGAGCTTTCCTCTGGTGTTCCAGGGCAGTGTTAAAGCTTGCTTTTCCTATTAGATTCCATTCAATCTAATGAGAATGGAATGCTGAACAGAAAGCTATGATCTTTCATCACTTATTTCTCTGTACTTCTAGTAGGAATCACAGAAGAGGACAGGACTCTTGTGAAAGGCACTAGAACTTCTATTCTCTGCGTCCTCAGAGCCTTGTGTCTCATTGCTGGTGAGTAGAGTGCTGGTCTCTTATAAGGAAGCCAGGGCTGTGGGGGAATAGTGACACAGGCTGTTCCGTTACTGTTCCTTTGGGGCTTTCTCTTTGTTCTCAGGAGGAGACCAAGGGAAGGTTCTAAATAAGAGAAAACCCTTGCTATTAGTTGTTTGTCATTCCTTCATGAGTGGAATGCACTGTCTTGTGTTGTGCATAGGAAACTAGCTTTTCTGTGAAATGCATGAATGGATTCTTCAAAGTCCCCCTATGGGCGTCCATCTCAGCTAAATTTTTGAGGTAGGAGCAGATGTTCATTTTAAAATAGTATCATTCTAAACCAGGGACTCTCTCTCTCTCTCTCTCTCTCTCTCTCTCTCTCTCTGTCTCTCTCTCTCTCTCTCTCTGTCTCTCTATCGCTGCATCTATCTCTATCTCTGCATCTATATCTTTTGCTAAGTGTGAAATTCTATTACATATTTATAGATATGAATTACACTGAATATGGAAGAAAGCCTTAAGAGACTTTCTTGAAATTCTTGGTGCATGCTATCCTTCACTTGACAGTTAACTATGAAACTACTGGGTGTAATATACACATACACATACGTAATGGTGGGCTGAGTGTGAGGTGAACTTATCTGCAGACCAGCCTAACTATACATTCATTACTCTCTTCTCAACAAAACTGCAAATAGACCACATGTGAAATATCAGGATGACTCGTAACTATTTTTTAAATCCCATGTTAAATGTGCAGATATCTAAGATCTGCTATATTAATAGATCATTTCCAGGACTAAATGTAATAATATTTTTTTCAAATCTTGACATCACAAATAATTCTCTACTTGACTAAAACCTTCTTGAGGTCTCATACTCTGCCTTTCTTATTTGTGTCCTCCCCCACCATCCCAGTGGGGTTGAGCCTGTGACTTTAAAAATGTTGACAACTTGGATTGCACTCTGGAACCTATTGAGAATCCTGATTCCTTTTTACCTTCTAGGGAAATTACAGTGGTTTGACCTCTTTGTCAGAATGTTTATACTTTTTTTTTAGAAAAAAATTCAAAAACAGCTGGCTGTATTTCCTATTTCCAATTCCTCTGCTCTATTTGTTTTGAATGACACACTAATTTGTGTCTTCCCTCTACCACTGAGTCTTGCCATGGGTCTTAATGATTGCCATGATTCCAGACCTGGAAGTTGGTCATTACTTGAAATTAAAAAGGAACGATCATTCCCTTTTTCAAGTACTTCACTTTGATTCTCTTTTAATCTTCTATTTTATTTCTTACCTTTTTTCAATTTTTCCCACTCATTCATTTTGCAATGTCTTGTGTTCCTATTTTTCCTGTGGTTTGCCACTTACACTTGTCTTTCACAGTTTCATCGTTTAAAAAGATATATGCATGCTGACAATTCCTAAATTTATGTCTACTACCCACATCTCTTTCCCTAAATCATTTTCATGTACCCTCTGCCCACTCCACACATGTCCCTTCAATATAAAGTTGGCATTTTAGGTTTAAAATGGACAACACAACAGGGTTTCTAAGCTCACCAAATCCATTTTTCTCACAATTTTCTTATCTTTATGTTTGGTAGCTTCATCCTGACAATTGCTTTCTCAAAAAAACTTGAAGATATTTTACAACTGGGTGTGGTGATTCATGCCAGTAATCCCAGGACTCAGGAGGTTTAAGTAGGAGAATCACTGTTAGTTTTAGATTAACCAAATAGTGAGTTCATGGCTGGTCTGACCAGTATAATAAAGACCTTGTCTCACAAAAATTTTTTAAAAAAAGAAAGAAAACAAAACTAGGAGTTATGCATTTCCTTTTTCTTATAATTGCACAATAATCTGCTTATATTTTAAAATTTCCACATAATCAGTTATACAATCAAAATGTATCTTCTATTTATTTCTCATAATCTTCTCTACCACTAATATTATCTAAAATAATTATAAAATAATATTCTTTCTCACCTGAGTTTTTATAATGATCCTCTAATTTCTTGTATGCTCTGCCTCTCAATTTGGCAAGTATGCAATTGTATAATATGATTTAATATTCAATTTGAACTCCAATTTTTGTTATAGACATGAATGAATGGGTGCCTTATTTCTAGATGTCTGCTGAGAAGTCACTCTACCCAGATTCAGCCTCAAGATGTAAGATAGCCTTGAGCTTCCTTCACCAATCAACCAACATACATGCACATGCACACGCACACACACACACACACACACACACACACACACACACACTTTCAGGGTGAGGTTGGGGAATCTCACTTTAACTTAGTGAGGTATCATTTGCCTGGAAAGTGTGAGGTCTTGAGTTCAATTCCTGGTATCCTAAAATAAGTAAGTAAGTGAATAAATAGATATTGTCATGTAATTCCTGGGAAAATAGTTGTAGTGAAGCAGAGGAAAGAGAGATCTAACCAAGAACAAAACCTAGGCTGAGTTAGCCAAGACAAACCAAGAGGAGCACTTTTTTTTCTGAAGACTAAGATTCTTGTATTATAGATGATGGAGTAAGAAATCTCAGTGAATAGAATCTGGTAAACTTCCTATTCATGTGAAAATCTGACCAAATATCTTTTCCCTGTTAATAGCCACAGTGAGTGCCAAATATTGTAATATAAATAATGTAATCCCTTTACCGATCCACCTTGCAGTCCAAAAAGTTATATTTATTGAAAGGGTTTTGGCCCACATGGGACACTGTAGCCAGAAAAGACCTCAGCTGGAACCAGGGAGCTCCTATCTCCTCCGCCCCTAGAGATTTACCTGTAACTCTATCCCCCCCCCCACCCTTCCGAATCTTCCCCTGTCACCAAACGTGTGCCAATGAAATAACTGTGCATCTCTAATGGCCCTAGGGCACTACCCTAAGCTTAGGCTACTTATATCCCCCCCACGCCACGTGTCCTGCAAGAGAGATCACTGGACTTCAGCAGCCAGGGGTGTCAGTCATCTCTCTCCGTGTTCTCAGAATAAAGGCCTCTTTTTGTTTTATACTTTTCATCTTTTGGAAATAATCCTATCATTTATAATTCTATGGAAACATTTGTGGAATCTCAGCCAGTTAATTTCAAGTTATCACTTCTAGTGCAATCCGTGGTGAGAATAAACACACTAAGACATACTTACAGTTACAGGCAGCCGAGTGACCTTGAGTCTGGTCCAGGTAAAGATATACAGAACAATGGCCTCACTCTGGTGTTTCACCCAGAGTTTAACTCATGAAGAAGGAAGTGGCTCGAGGATGAGTGACAGAGGATGAGTGGGAATTACATGATACTTACTATGAGCTAGGCTTGTGTAGGCAGCTAGAAAGCACCTCTGCAATATGCAGACAAATGGACATGCAGAAAAATCAATCTGCATAACTCAATTGGGGTAGCATTTAAATGTTTAGGAGGCTGTTGCTTTAATTTCTGATATGTAAACTTTGGTGCCCTGGCCTCTAATTTTGAGGTTCATACCTGCTTGACTTTCCTGGAGCTATGTGGCTCTGTCATCCTGCTGTGCTCAACTATTTTTAGGGAAACAAAGAGAGAGAAAACAGGAAACTGTGGGCTGGCTTCAAAGACTACACAAAGGTGCCTTGGCTAACCTTATATACATTACTTAGGGCCAATTATAGTGGGGGAAAAGTATCTTAGCCAACTCTACATGCAACAATACATTGAGACAAGGCCTGGTTTAATTAATGCAGAGGTAGTTGTTTTACATTCAAGGAGAGCCATCCAAATGTTTTTCTGTGACTTTTCATGACAAGAATGACTTCAAAAGCAGTGTCACTGAGAGATGTTTTCTTTCTATAAAGGTTCCAAATCAGCATTTATCTTATCTCATCTTGTTTTGTGTTTTCTCTGACCCAATCTATTATTTTCTGGCTCTGGTCTGAGACTTGAATGTTACTTCAACCCTGTTTTGTTTAACTACATGTTATGTAGACTTTATCTGCCTTTGGCTACTAGGAGCATCAAAATTTTCAGTTTTCAACAACTTTCCAGTTCTCTGAATGAAATAACTTTCCCACTTTCATTAATAGGAGAACAAACTTCTGACCACCCACTCATCAGATGTGGCATTTCATCCAAGACTCTTGTGTAGGGTAAACAGACCTGAGATTAAATCAAATGATATTTGGGTCCCATATGTGAAGAAAAATGTGAAGTATTAGCACTTGACTGCATCTCTGCTTGTAGTATACAAGTAATAATAATTACAGCTGTAACTGATGTCATCGGCTTTGTGTTGAGCAGTGTGCTGCATTTTTTTTCTTCACAGTAGATGAGGTAGCACTGTCTTTATTGCTTCTCTGTTTATGAAGGCATGGTGACTTGGCTAAAGTCATGGGAAAGCAAACTGTGAAACAGACATTCACAGATGCTTTCCTAATGCCAAAACCTATGATGTTAACAATTCTACAGAACTATCTCCCTTAGGATAGGGATTAGTAACTGCAAGGCAAGATGCGTAACTTTTTTCCCTTCTCTCTCCTGTACTTAACAACTCTCTTGTACTTGAGTTAATCTCATTATATTCGTTTCTGTCCTGGAAGAATAAAGTAACTGAGCAGTTTCAATGCAGGTATAATGCCCAGATTGAGATAATAAACTGGGCTCTTGAAAGATTTCCTAATGTTCCCTACTTGATGGAAGCTGAGGGAAGCTTAGTTTTAAATAGATCATTGTGTCATTAAACAGATCATTAGATGAGGATATTTTTCATCCCAGTAGATTGTGAAAAATGGAACCAGACACCTTTTGTAGGAAGAATCCATATTTGGGCAGCTTTCTTCTGAGTTGCCACCAGCTTCTGGTGGCTCCAAAAGTTCTTTGGTTGTGACTGCAGACTCTAATCTCTCTTGCTGCTTACTAAAAATACATTCAACTCAAATGCTAATGCTTAAATTTGATATTTAGTATATCAAGTTTACTGTTTTTTTTTTTTTTAAAGAAAAAATAAACTGTAATTCTACCTTTGGGCCTTTTTA